ACACCCTTGAGGTATCACTCCTCACCCAAGGTTTCACCAAGTCACAGTTCGATGCAGCACTGTACATCCTACGCACAAGTGAGGGGGAGTCCTTGTGGCTCCTAGTCTATGTGGACGACATCCTCCTCGTGTCAGCATCCTTGAGTCTCCTAACACGCATCAAAGGTATGCTCACCCAAGACTTCATCATGACAGACATGGGTGAGCCCTCACACTACCTTGGTATGAACATCGTGAGGGACCGCACCACCAAGTCACTTTTCATCTCACAGCAGAGGTACACTGAGAAGGTCCTTTCAAGGTTTGGTCTCCTTAACTGCAACCCAGTTGAGACCCCACTCCCCTCGGACTTCATGCCAAGCTCACACGAGCAAAGCATTGACCCTTCCACTGTTGAATCAGAGGTTACTGATCTTGAGGGTGAGGTCGAGAGCCTTGAGCCTCCTGAGGACATTGGTCATGACACCTATGCACCACAGTCCACGTCCCACATCACACCCCTTGAGCTCTCACTCTACCAGAGCCAAGTGGGCAGCCTTATGTACGCCTCCATCTGCACCCGTCCTGATCTTGCCCATACCGTTGCCATGCTCTCTCAATGCATGACATCACCTACTCGCATGCATCAGCGTGGGGCACTTCGTGCCCTGCGCTACCTCAAATCATCCTCTTCCTTTGGTCTCCTCTTTCAAGGGTTTGAGGGTGCAAGCATGCTGTATGGCTTCACGGATGCAAATTGGGCTGGGGATATCCCTACTCGCAGGTCCACTGGAGGATACATCTTCATGCTTGGAGGGGCAGCCATCTCTTGGCAGTCAAAGAAGCAGAGTTGTGTGGCTTTATCAACCACGGAGGCAGAGTACATGGCTGCGACCCAAGGAGCCCGAGAAGCAGTGTGGATGAGAGGCCTATTGAAGGAGCTTGACCTCCCACAAGAGAGCCCTACTCCCATCTTCATCGACAACACGTCGACGATCGCTCTCACCAAGAACCCAGTCTTCCATGGGAGGACCAAGCACATCGCGACGCAGTACCACTACGTCCGGGAGCTTGTGGAGCAGAAAATAATTGAGCCCCTGTTTTGCCGCACGAGTGAGCAAGCGGCGGATTTCCTCACCAAGGTTGTTGCACGCGACATCTTCATCAACAACCGAGTTCAAGCCGGGTTAGTCCCAGCAGTCGGATTTGAGGGTACGGGCTTGCAGTGAGGGGGAGTGTTGTGAATGGCACACTCTTCACGTGCCACGCTACTGTGCCACTCCAACCCCTTCCCCTCAAAACACCCTCGACACATTTTCCTAAGAGCCCATCCAAACCACTCAACTCTTCCAAAGCCTATTCCAACCACTCAAGTTACAAACTCCTTTTTTTCCAACTCATCCTCTCCAACTCAAGCCTATCAACCACCTCTTTAATTACTCCCAACCACCATAGACTTTCCTAGTCCAACTCAACCAATATTCAAACCAACTTCCCATACTTATCCTCAAGTCCCACCATAAGGCACATGACTCCTCATGATTTTCCATGTGTTTTCCTTTCCTACTCATCAAAGTTTACCCAAGTCATCTACCTCCTCCAATTATCCTCCTCCCATGTGCCTTCAAGCACATGCTTCCACTTCCTAGTCATCAACCTCCACATGCCTCTCATTTATTCCTTCCATCATTCCTTTCCCAAGTCACCAAAGTTGCCACCTCATCCCTAAGGACTTCATGATTATCCCATCACCTCCTATTACAAGGGAACAAAACTCATCATCTCCTCCACTCATCCTTATCCAACTCACTAAGCTCTCTTCCAACTCAACAAGGCTTACATCTCCAACTCATCAAGTGCTCAACCACCATCACATGCTCCAATACTATTCATCTACATCAAGCATCTCTACAACTTCTCAAGAAGGTTCTTCAATGACAACAATGCATTCCAAGCTTCTTCACCAAGCTCATTTCCAAGCTTCTCCTTCAAGCTCCTCTTCTACTACAAAGGCTCCTCACTAGCAACCAAGTTCTATGTCTCCAAAAGTTGATACTCTCATGCAACTCTCTTCCAAGGCTACCATTGATGGTTACTCTCTCTATGCATGCCTATGTATCCCTCATGGATCTATAAGGCTTGTACTATACCTCTTTCAATATAAGTTTATGCTCACAAAGTGTCTCTCATTAGTCTACAAAGTTAAGCATCAAGTGAAGAGTAATCACCTCATACTCTACTTGAGTATAAGGTTCATTACTTCCTACAAGCTTGAGGAAGGATCATCACCCAACACCAAGCTTGATGTTCTTCTTCAAGGAAAGCTCTCAAGACCAAGCCATTCCTACAAGTCACCTCTACAACTATCCCTAGTAAGATTCATTTAAGTAAGTGCCTATCCCCTCTCTTATTCTCTCAACAAGCTCATACTCTCTTTCTCCATTTTTGTGTTTTTTATCTCATCAAGCATTCCACCTTACACAAGTTTCTCTTTATAGTCCCAAGTTCTAAGTATCATCTTCTCTTCTATCAAGCTCATCCTCATTTACTACAATTCCACTGTTTACTCTTGTCTTATTCTATTGTGCAATCATACTCTTTTATCCTTCTATTGTGCGAATGTGACACAGGCCATCACAGGTGACGCCATCGCTATTCGCACACGCGGTCTGTTCGAACACAGCGACGTCGCCCACAAAAGAGCGACGTCGCCAAACATTGGGTCCCTCGCTTGTGTGTTTTCTCGAGCGCTGCGACCACCAAATGCGGAGCCAACTGGATTGCTAGAAATACAGCCAACGTCTGGCCGGGTCGCAAACGTTCATGGGCGACCCGGAAGACTGTGGACCAATCATATCAGTCGTTTCTGCGGAATTGTGTGTCACCTATCCCAACCTGTTCGAACAAACGTGTTCGAACGTGCGGGATGATGAAAATCGTGCTTGAGGTGACAGCTCTGTTCAAATTGGCGAAATTGTGCTTCGCGACGTCAAGATCACCACTACGAACATAGGCGAAACGAGTAACGTTTCGCCTGTTCGAACGAGTGTGTTGTTCGAACCGACAGGTGAAGCGCCCTTAGGACAGCCGTTGAGGGTGCACTCAATTTTTTCGAGAGGGAGTTCGAAAGTTGTTGCAGGGGTGTAGGAGTGTACCCATTCAGGGATCGGTCGGTGTAGTTGAGGTCGGGTGTTTCGCCTTTAGCGAGGTCACAGTTTCCTCCGTCGGTGGCGAATTTGGCGGAGGTTGTAATGCTGCGAGCGCTTTTCGCAGGTTCCCTCGTTTCACTAAGCCCTCCGCCCTGCTGGTAACCCCGGTTGGATCCTCGGTGTGCTATGGTGGTGCACCTCGTGTGCCAGGTGCCAGACAATCTTCATAGAGTTGGGTCCATTTTCCGCATCTGAAGTCATGCATCTGGGCCCGCAGGACCTTTCACCTGGACGAAGATCTCCGGTTAAGGCGTAGTGCTAAGTTGCCAAATACGCTCAGGACACTGTGCGTTTAGCGGATATACGATAGCGTTTACACACTAAATGCTAAACGCAAGCTAATACGCTATACGCTTGCCAATTTTTTTTGGGGCAGCCCGACCGAAAAAATGTGAATATACGGAAAGATGCGGAATTGCACGACGAGCATTTTGCCACCGTCAAAATTCACGTCCGCGATTTGTGCAAGGGTGAACGGCGATTTCCGCGCTGATCGGCAATTTCCCTTCCGCGCACATCCGCGCGGATCGAAGTTTCTTCCCGCAGAAGGGATGGGGGGAAAGACTCTCCCTAGAACAACGTCTTGTACATCTGGACTGGAAGGAAGTGACGTGACGACTGTACAAATTTCAAGTATCAAATTGGTTGGATGAGATAGATGCAATGCGGTGAAGATAGGTGATGGAAGGGGGAATTGGTTGGAGGCAACATTGGCGATGGGTGTGGGGCACGAATTCCAGCATTGGCGATGGTTTCCCTGTCCAGGATCTCTCCTACGCCTCCTCCTACACTCTAGCAATCATGCCTTGTGATAGCGAGCCCGAAGCAGAGCAGATTCGCACAACGCTATTGCAGTCTACAGCCTACGAACTCTGCATCTTAACCCGATTTCGGGCCGAGTCGAGGGTGGTTATCTTAGTATGGAGAAAAACTTACCTCTGAAACTTAACCCCTTAGATCCGCCCCCCCTATAACAGCCCGGGCGGATTTTTTCCCCTGCCCGGGAAAGTTTTTTCCCTGCCCCAAAAAGCGTGTGTTCAAATCGCTCCCTTACGCGTATAGCGTATATACGATACGCGTATATACGCTATAAGCGTATTTTGCAACTTAGGCGTAGTGTAAGTCGTGGCAGAAACAGCAACACCCTCCATGCCCCCACACAATTAGGGGATGTTGAGATTCTCATTAGCGCCGCCAGTAGGCAGGTGGCAAAGTTGCTGAGCGCCTGTGGTGGAAGTCGTCGGACGATCGGCTGCTGGAGCGATGAGGTGAGCTCCGTGATGTCCCAGTCAGACGCAATCGCGAATAGGTCATCCCGTTTTGCCAGGTCGTTTGGTGACAAGGCTTGGTCTGATGGTAGCCTTGTTGTTCGCTGGCGACGGACTGAGCCTCCTCTAGTCCGACGTGTCTGGGTAGGGTTCGCCGCGGGCATGGCCTGGGACTCCGGTGATGGGGGGTTTGCGTGATTTTCGGGCCTATAACTTGCGTCGCTTCCCTCGTCCATATCAGGCGCTTGCCTTCCCCCCAGTCCCCTTCCGCTTTCCCAAGCCCCGCCGTTGACCCGCGCCAGGGCGGTTGCCTGTCGTGTGACTCGCAGCGCCGGTTCTCTGAGCCACGTGGGGCTCATCTCTCCGCCCCCGTTTCCGCCTGCCTGCGCTGACTGCCTGCCGCTTCCCCTGCCTCGTCTCCCCCCGCGCGCGCCTCACCCCTGCGTGCTCCCACACGCGCTTTGAGTCTGTACGAGCGTTCTCCCCGCCGGCGGTCCCGGTGTCACTGGCGGATCGTCTCCCGGCCATACAACTTCTTCCCACGATGGAATCAGGGCTCGCGGAAGCGGAGGAGCGCCGATCTCCTCGAGCTCATTCTCCGGCGCGCGAGGCGTCAGTGGAGAGCGCGCCGCATCATGAGCCCCTCGGGGTGGCTGGCGTGCCTCCACGCTCGGATCTTGGTTTGGCTCCCGAACAGGATCACGCGTCGGGGATAAATCGCCCCTCTCCCGTTGTCCCTGTGGCTCCCGAGGCTCCCTTGGCTGATGGGGGTCAGGTCGCCGTGGCAGCTCCATCGGCTCCCTCAGGCCGCGCTCCACCGTTGTCACCGCGTGCTCCTGGTCCGAACGGCGGATCGTCCCTGTCTCGACGTGGGCGGTCTCCTCGCGCGTCGCCGGCTGGTTCCCCCCGCCAGTTGCCGGTGCGCCGCCACGCGTCTCCTGCGCGTCCGGATGATGGCGCCACTGGACCCCAGCCGCCTGTTCTACCGGCGCGTCATGCAGCTCCTCCTGCAAACCGATCCCGCTCCTCCCATGGCGGTCGCGGACGAGGCCGTGGCTGGCGCGGCTGGAATGGATCCCTTGGGCGTGGATCCTACCACGCTGGACCCGCTCAGTCGTCCCTGCAGAGGGCGCTCCAGTCGCTTCCTTCCGTGCTTGAAGGTGCTCTGACGCGCGCCTTCTCGGCTGCTCCACACACAGCGCCAACTCTTGACCCATCCCGTTCTCGGCTCCCTGGTTCGTCCGCCGCTGCCCCTCATGGTGGGCCCCGTGTTGCTGGGGAGGCCGTGGCGGCGGCATCAACTGTGCGACCGCGACTGCTACGTGACTTCCCCACGGCTCACGAGGGTGGTCACCGGTCGTCTCGCTGCCTCGTGGTGGCGTCAATGCAGGCACGCAACCGCGCGGATCCTGGGCCGCCGACGGTGACAACCGCCAAGGTGAGCTTGGGGCAGCTGTGGCTGGCTGAGTGTCAGCCAATGGTGCAGCTGATTCTGGAGAAGGCGCAGGTCCTTCTTCAGGGGAGCCCATCGGGCACATACGTTGATCACGCGGGAGAAGCATGCCTCCAGCATGCAGCAGAGATCGCTGCCTTGGTAGGGCCTGTGTTGGACGCGCCAGCCCAGGGAGGAGCTGTTGCCTCTACCCTCTTCCTGTTCCCACCCACCTCTTGCACACTTTCCGATTCACACAACAGCTCGCTGCGTGCAAGCCCACACTCTTGCAGACGGAAATGAATCACAAAAACACTATATCGCCTCCTCATCCCTCTCCCTCCCACCTGTTCCCCTCCCTTCCGCGGCCCGCCCCATCCCACCCCATCACTTCCCTCCTACATCCGTCCCACCCCGTTCGCACATCCTATCCTACCCGATCCCACCCCATCCCACCCATCCACGCATCTTATCCCAACCCCACCAGGAAGACGGTTTCCGGCCGGGGCGCGCGTGGGGAGACGGCCAGGGGCCGGTGCCGGCGAATAAGCCGGGAGTTGTGGGGAGCGAAGGAGGAGGGGCGGGGGGAGGGGAGGGGGTGGTTGGGTTGGATCGGCAGACGGTGGAGCAGGTGTCGGCTGGGGAGGGCTTTGCTGTGGCGAGGCTGAGCCATGGCGTGGTGTACTCGTGGTGAGTGGTGCAGTTCTGGCCCAGACCAGAGTACCTCCTGGTGAGAGCTTTGGTGTACCTGGAGGTTCTCGTGCTGTGCATATCCGCTGCTGGTGGTGGCGTGGTGGGCAATGGGCGTAACCCCACTCCTTTCCCTCCTCACGACACTGCCTCATCAGCCAAGACCCATCCCCACCGTTCTCAACCCCCCCCATTCCAGCACCCCGTTCCCAACCCCCCCGTTAACAACCCCTCCTGCCTTCCCTCCTCTCCCCAGGGGCTACAACCAGCACGGGCAACTGGGCCGCCTGGAGCCTAAGTTGGAATATACGCGTTTAGCGTTTTGTACGCTTGCTGTATATACGCTAGCGTATATACGCAAACCGCAGTCCCTGAGGGGTCTGGTACGCCCAAGAATCCGCTTGCCCGGGCAGGAAAAAAGTTTTCCCCGGGCAGATTTTTGGGGTAAGAGGTGGGGATGGGGGGGTGTTGTAACCCCCATCCCCTTTGTATTAATATGAAAGTTACAGGAAAAGAAAACCCTTATGGCCAATCTGCCGCTACAACTTCACCCACCTTAATCATGCTCCCACTAGTACTCATCTGCCATCACATCATCCTCCCCCTCCTCAGGTTCCTCCACCTCCTCCGGGACGTTATAGCCAGCCGGAGTGGAGGGGTCCTCGATGTTTCCCTTCACCACCCCAGCCCTTCAGGGGCCTTGTGCGTCACATACACCAGGTCACGAAGCTTCACCGCGCCGAGGCGGTTCCTCCTTGCCGTATGCACTGCATCAAACTTCGCCCAGTTACGCTCACATGGAGACGCAGACACCGGCTGCGTGATGGCACGGCAAGCCATGGTGGTGAGCTCAGGATGATCGGTCCCGTGCCATGTCCACCAGTCCACCGCCGTCATCTTGCCCTCCTTCACTGCCTTGCGGTCGGCAATAGCGTCGGACATGCCGAAGCTGCCTTGGAGGTTCAGGAAGGCATTGAGGCCTTCCTGGATGACGAGAGAGGCGCGGCGCTCGACCCCGTCCTTCCTGGTGACCATCTTGTCACCATGGTGCTTGGAGACGTACTGCTTGAAGACCCTCATGCACTCCAGGTCGGTGCGGAAAATGCACTCTTCCTGGTTGGTGGGGTAGAGGATGCGGCCAATCACATGCAGGTTGCACGCCAGCCCGTTGTCCCAGCGGTCCTGCACGATCTCCCGAATATCCCCCACCTCGTTGCTTGTCAGGACCCCTTCCGCATGCTCGTCGAGGAAGTCGCGGATGTCCTCGGTGAGCTGGAGCATGAGGTTTTAGAGACGACCCATCATGCCCTTCGAATCTGAGTCAGTCTTGCGCATGACGACGAATGGCAGCCTCATCAGCTTAGCGAAGAACTCGGCGCGCGTCCACCACGCGGCATCGAGGATGTTGTCTTTGAATGTGTCTGGCTTGCGGGCGGCCGGCCTTGTCGGAGAACATGTCGCTTGCCACGGTGACACCGTCACGGCACCAGCTTGCTGAGATAGGAGCGAGCGCCGCCTCAATGCGCTGGCGACACTTCGCAAGACCGGCGCCACCGATGTAGCGTCTCTTCGGCGCGACGTAATTCGGCCCCGCGCGCTGGATGCTGGAGACCACATTCCGCCACAGTGGGTGGTCCGCGTGATGCTCCGGCACATGAAGAGCAGCAAAGAAGAGGCTTATGGCCTCGTCCGCAGCTTGGTTCGCGCACGCGGCGTCGTCGCCGTAGAAGTCGGACATCCGACTCTTCTTCTTGTCCGAACCTCTGTCGTCGACTGCGCCGACCGCCGCAATTTCAGCCACACGCTTCGCTTCACGGGCCTTCAACTTGGACTCGTAAAGCGCCTTCACGGCGTCACGTGCAGTCTTCGGCGCTGCAGTGCAGAGATGCACTTCGCGACGGCGCATGCCGTTCCAGCTGGTGATATGCTGCGCGCAACGGTGAACCCCGCCAACAAACGTGAAGTTGCAGTAGGCACACACCTTGGTGCCGTTCTCGCCAACGCTATTGGCCGGCACCTTGAAGTGACGTTAGACTGCATGCTTGCTGTCCATGCAGACCAAAGACGTACTAGAAGAGGTCCCACCAGCGGAACTACCAGGAGACTCTGAGGGTGGCGTACGAGAAGTGGTTGCTGTAGGAGTGGAAGCCATGGTGGCTTGGGAAAGGACATAGCTAGGAAGCGAGAGAATGAATGTCGAGGGAACAAACGCCTCTCTTTATGCCTGGGAGATTGGGTTGGGTTGAGCTCCCAACCAGTAAAGTAGCACTTGGAGGGGATGGTGGAATGCCGTGGTTCAGAGGGGTGTGAAACGTTTGAGGGGAGGGGTTGATGAGGTTTGGTGCTCGAAATTCAAAATTTGAGTTCATTTCGCGACAACTGCGACTCGGAATTGAGATCGCCACGTCGCGAGCTTCAGATTGAAATTTTGTTTATTTTTTCGGTCTGCCCGAAATTCAACTCGGCGAATTTTCAAACTATACGCAACGTACGAATTCGACAAGCGTATAAACGCAAAACGCAAAATGAAAGTAGCGTATATTCCAACTTAGCCTGGAGCCCTCCCGGGACGGCAGCCCTGCGCCAGTGCACGGGCTGGAGCACCTGGAGGTGCTGGTGGTGGCGTGGTGGACTGGTGGCGTCCTTCCCTTCCCCCCGCGTCCTCCTCTCCCCTTAGCACCTTCTTTCAACAGCCCCACTGTTGTCAGCCCCCTGTTCTTAACCGCCATTCCCGATCCACCTGCTCCCAACCCCCCCGGCCCTCCCTCCCTCCCTCCAGGGGCGACAACCAGCACGGGCAGCTGGGTCGCCCGGCGCCCTCTCAGGACGGCACCCCTGCGCCAGTGCAGGGGCTGGAGCACCTGGAGGTGCTGCTGGTGGTGGCGGGGTCGCAGCAGGGCCTGGTGCTGTGCCGCGCACTGCAGGGCTCTGAAGCCGCCCTGGAGCCCCAGGAGTTTGACGACACACGCGTGCTCAATGAGGAGCATGTGTCGCCTGCATCGCTGCCTGATCTCAATGCTTCTGCTCCTGCTGCTGCTGTGCCTGTGCCTGGTGGTGCTGGTGGCGTGGGAGCAGGGTTTGGTGCAGCAGTGGGTGTAGCAGTGGGTGCAGCAGGGGGAGCAGTACGGGCTATGGTGGCGGGTGGGGAAGGAACTGCTGTGGCGAGTGCAGCAGAAGGGGGTGACAGTGGTGCGGGGGAGAATTGGGGGGAGCGAGTTGGGGGAGGGGCGTCAGCAGCGGAACAGGGGGGGACGGGAGGGGGCAGTGGCGCGGGACATGTGGATGAAGTTTGGGGAGGAGTTCAAGATGCTGCCCCGGCAGGGCATGGACAGCAGCATGCGGAACCCGTGCTGGCGCGTGCAGGCGGGGGATGCGGCGGGGAGTGCGGGGAGTGGGGGCAATGAGGGAGCGGCAGGACCTGAGGTGCACTGCCTGCCGTACTTCTTCATCATTGGTGCCACCAGGTGTGCCTCCACTTGCTTCTTTCCCTTTTCTTCTTCTCCATCTGCCATAGGCAATTTTCTTCATATCTTTTCTCTCCAACTGTTTTCCCTGTCGGCTCCTGCTCATGCACTTGCCCCTGCTCTTGCTGCTGCACGTGTACCAGAATGTTCCCCGTCCCTCACTGCTCCTTCTTGCATTCGCCCCCGTACTTCCTACTCCCTCTCCTTTCCCCTTCCCTTCCCCTCCCTGTGCACCATGCGTGTACCCTACCCACACACTCTCAGTGCCGCCATGCAAGAAGGATCTGTACCAGAACCTCACCCCTCACTCATCACGCCCGCTCCGTCTTGTTCTTCCCTTTCTCACCCCCCTTGTCTCGCACCCACTGCCTGCATGCATATCCCACCACAATGCCGACACTGCCAGGGCGGGCACACAGGACCTGTACCGCAAGCTCACGTCCTCCATCACGCCTTCTCTGTCCTTCGCTTCCTCCCCGCCCCCCTGTCGCACGTGCCTATTCCGCCCACCATCCCAGGGCGGGCACACAGGACCTGTACCGCAAGCTCACCTCCTCCATCATCACGGGCATATTCCCAGCCGCCATCCCCAACCCCCAGTGGTAGGAGGACCTGCCTTGCCTTCTCCCCAGCTCATGATGAGCACAATTCAACAATCCTTGCCAATCCTTATCCTCGCCCTAGTCAGTTTCTGTGCTGCCATTCCATCCCATCCCAGCAACAAATGATAAAGCACGACGTTTATGACTCAATTCCCTTTAACGATCCTCTCCACCCATCCACACACCACCCCCCTCCCCCCCCCCTTCCGCCCACCTCCCGCCTCTTCCCTCCCCATCCCCCACTTCCCGTTTTGCCATTATGTGTAGCTTGTTCCTGTCTTCGTGCGAAATGACTCCTTGCATTTCCTTCTTCTTTGAGTGCTTCCACCAACAGCTCAATCGCAGTCCTCTATCTCGTCCTCCCTTCTCTGCTTCCCTGCCTCTCGTCCTCTCCCCTCCTGCCACACAACAACCACCATCCTCATCTCCCCACAGCCACTCCCCTCCCTCCCCTCCTCTCGTCCTCCTCAACTTCAACCCTCTCAAGAACCCCTGTTCTTTGTAGAACCTCTCAAGACACAGCCCTTCAACCACGTTGTGTAGCATACATTGGACGAATTCTGACGCGCCGTACCCTCCCCTTCCCCATCCTTAAGCATCCCAAACCTTTTAAACTAGGACCGCAACTGCCCGAGAGACACACACCCCCACCCATCACATCTCCCTGCTCGCCTCCACCCCTCCACTTCCCATCCCTTCCCCGCGGTTCCCCCCCCCCCCCCACCCCCCCTCCTCCCCTCTCCTGCCTCCATACCCCCGCTTCCCCATCCCCACCCTCCCTTGTGCAGGTGGGACCGCAACGGCGCGCGGGACTTTGCGTGGTACGTGGCGCTCTTTGACGAGGCAGCGCAGCACATGGTGAACACGGGGGGCAGCGCGGTGACAGGCGAGGCGTCCAGCACGCTGCTCACAAGCTCAGGCGTGGTGCTGCGAGGCCACGTGGACGACAGGCACACGCTGCCGCAGCTGCTGCACCTGGTGCTGCCGAGGAGCAAGTTCATTGTGATTCTCCGGAACCCCGTCGACCGGTTCTTCTCCGAGTTTAACCTCGCTGCCGCTGTCAACCCCTCGCCCTCCGTGCCCAGGGACTTTCATAAATACGTGAGTGCCCGCACTGCACTGCATCACACCGCATCACACTACATCATTTTGCACTGTTTGCCCCCACTCTCCCGTATCTCAATCCCTCCCCCCGTCCCCTTCCCATCCCTCCACACACCCGCTATGCAATTCGATCTCGCTTTCTCTATTCGCATCGCTCCCACAATGCGTTCTCACCCTCGAATGGTCCTTGTATATACATGGGGCTACAGTGCAATGGAAGGTGAGTACATGACAAGCAAAGCTACGCCCAGAACCGCCGTACACGAGCTCACAAGCCGGCCCCAGGGCTTGCATCAAGGACCCCCCAAGTCAAGGGGCTCATGAAGCACGTCAATGGGCTCCACCCGTGCTGACCACCAAGGCAGTGTGAGTGCCGGTCCTCCCTTTGCTGGTCCCGCAGCGGAGCAGATGGTTTGGAAGACGTGGGTCATGAAGCTCTGCTCTCCCGCCGGTTCCAGCCCGAGTCACCGTGCCTTTCTCTCGGGCCCCTCTCCTCCCCCGCACGCCCTCGCGTTCGTGCCGGCGAGACTCGTGTCTCTCTCCACCTCGCCGTGCTCGTCTCTCGCTGCCGCTGCCTCTCTGGCGACGGTTCCCATGCTTCTCCCCTTCCTTGCTGCTGACGATCTCCGGGCGAGCGCCTGTCTCCGCCGCCTTCTCTTCCCCGCTGCTGCCGGACGAGAGGCGAGCGGAATCCGCCGCTCACCCTCCTCTCCCATTGCGCTTGCGGGCCACACGTCCGTGCCTCCCCGCCGCGCCCCTCTTGCCGCTGGCCGCGCCTCTCTGATGAGCTGGGCCCCTCCTCGCGTCCTTCTTCCCGCCGCCAGTGGTGGCTGGCTGCGCGTGGCTCGCCCTCCCATCCTCCCTTGTGCATCAGCTGCCTGTCCGGCGATCGTGCGCCGTCTTCGCCCCAGCCCCCTTGTGCCTGGCGCCACTCGAGTGCGCGAGGGTTAACAGAAGGCCGCTCCCAGCGCCGTGATCCTTCCCTTGACGCGCGCGGTCCCTCTTCCTCCCTTTTGCCGCGTTCTCCTTGCGTCCCCACAGCGCCGGCATGCACGCCCCAGTCCCGCCGCTCCTGCCGACGCGACCTCTCCGCGTAATGCTCCTCCTGGCGGCTTGCGTCGCGGCCGCGTGATTCCGACCGTCCCGACCGCGATCCTTCCGCCCCTGCCTGGCTTGCGCCCCCGGCAACGTCCGCCTCTTCAGGCTTGGCGCTTCCGAGCCCAGCCGCGGGTTCCTCGCCGTCATCTTCTCCGTTGGCGTCTTCGACCGCCCGTTCTAGGTTCGCTGCGTCCTCCTCTGCCTCTTCCTCGCCGGACGTCTCCCACGCTTCTTCCTTTTCTGCGGCCTCCCCTCCTTGGTTGGCGTCGAATTGCTCGACGCCCTGCCAACGGCCCCTCTCATCACGGCGGCGCCCGCGCTCTTCCGGCGAGCGGAACACTCCCACAGCGCGTCGGTCTCCGCTCCCGTATCCATCTCCGCGATCATGCCCTCTTCGCCACACGTCTCCGTCCGCGCTTGCGGCGTATCCTTCTCCACTCGCTGCCACGCTAGGCCTCTCTTCCGCCCGTCGGTCCCCAGCGACAGGGACTCTATCTGCGCGAAATGCCGGCCTTCGCGGTGAGCGCTCCAGAGATTGCCCGCGCTTGCGTGACGGCTCACCTCGTGCTCGTTCCTCCTCCCGGCGACTAAACACCCTACCCCAACGTAGCTCATATTTATCCATGACTGCGTGTCGCGGCCTATGGTTTAGTATGAACGTGATCACTCCCTCACCCCACCGGTTCCTTCTTAGTGCTGTGCCACCGCGTGTAGTAGCTAGGATAACAGCCCTGCACTAGTATGAAAGAATACAGAACAATAGGCATCGAGTGAGTGGGCGTGGGTGACCTTACCCAACCTCGGCTTGCACATTTCCAATGTGCGGCTCGAGGTTGGGATTTGTTCGAATCCCACATTTCACCCTTCGGTGCTTTTCCCCCTTCATCCCAACCGCTCCCACATATTTCCCCCTTTCTGCACCCCTTTGCAACCGACACTTCGCTACTGGCTACACCTCCTACACTACTTCTTATCTATCTACCTCAATGCATTCTTAGCTATTTGCTATACTACTTCCCAGCACCGCACTCTACTGTTATTGCATATGCATCCCTTGCATATGCGGTGACAAGGCCCGCTTCGGTGCTGCCATGCACGCTGAGTTCCTTACCACGCACCTCCCTCCACTCTGGCTCACTCTCTACCACCTAGTCACCCGCCTCCCTGACACACTGCGTGCTGTCAGGGACCACTTCCTAGCTCGTTGCCCCACTGAGCTCACCATTGCCCTCCTCGAGAAGGAGCTACTTGCAGCTGAGACTATCATAGTCGCTGTAGGTGCCTCTCGTGGCGACCCCTGTACCCCGTTCTTTGAGGGGTGTTCTCCTTCCCCCCTTCTTCCCTCTGTCGCCTCTGCTGCTGCTGTCGACCTTTTTGGTGCTGAGAAGGTCGGCGCTGCGTCTGCCTCGAGCGGGCGCCGCAGCGGCAAGGGCAAAGGGGGCAAGGGTGGTAGCAATGACGGCGGGGGAGGCGGCGGTGGGGGCGGTGGAGGCAGTGGAGGTAGTGACTCGGCTGGAGCGACGAGTGGTAGCGGTGGGGGTGGTGGCGGCGGCGGCGGGGGAGGTGGCAGGAGTGGAGGCGGCGGTTGGGGTGGTCGAGGAGGTGGCAGCGGTGGTGGTGGCCGTGGAGGCACTGGCGGTGGCCAGGGCCAGCAGCACACTCCCTCGCCCCAGGAGGTCCGTGAGTGGTACTCTCAGCACGGGGGTGGGGGTGGTCTTAGCTGCACGTACGTCATTCGCACTGGTGACCGCACTGGTCAGCAGTGTGGACGACCGCACGCCACACAGCGCTGCTTCTATTATCTCGACGACGCTTGGCGTGTTCAGTTCCCTCAGGCCACGAAGCTGCCCCGCTGGTTTGATCTCCTGAAGAAGGGGATTGATATCTATGCTCTAGACTTTGATGCTATTCTATCTGCCATGTATGTGATGTCTACTAGTGGAGAGGGTGCCGGGTACTTGTGTGTGCCGCTCAACCCGGGCATTAGGGCCAGTGCGTCTGTTGCTCCAGGTACTCGCGTGCCGGCTACCCCAGGTGCTGGTGAGGCTGCTGCTCTAGGTGCTCGTGTGTCTCCCCCCCTGGTTCTGCGTCGACTGCCGCACTGCACACCTTCACACTGGACTCAGGTGCTTCTCGCTGCTTCTTTTGTGACCGCACTGCCCTTGAGCCGCTTGCTCGGCCAGTTGCTGTCTCGCTTGCTGACCCCTCTGGGGGTCCAGTCATTGCGACCTCTTCCACTGTCCTTCCCAGCCCTGCGGTCCCGTCGGGCACACTGTCACGTCTCCACCTCCCCTCGTTCTCTACGAACTTGGTGGCAGGATGTGCTCTCCAGGACGGGGGTGTTCACCAGTTCACCCCTGCCTACGAGCGCGTGACCCATTGCACGTGTGCTTGTACGGGCCGTCACTTGGCTACCTTCACTCGGCAGCCGGGGTCAGACCTGTACACACTGACTACTGCCTCCCCTCAGGTCGCTGTGTCTGCGTTTGCGTCCGCGTCAGGTCAGCTGTTTGCCCCCTGCTCGTGTCGCTTTCTAGCACATGAGACTGTCCTCTGGCACCACCGACTTGGCCACCCGTCTGTGCAGCGCCTTCGTGCCATGCAGTCCCGGTACCTTGTCTCCAGTCTTCCCAGAGTCCTCCCTCCCCTCCCACCCTTGCCTTCTCCTCCCTGCCTTCCCTGTGTTGAGGGGCGGCAGTGCGCCGCTCCTCACTCCTCCTCGTTTCCCCCGACGACTGCTCCTTTGCAGACGCTCCACATGGACGTGTGGGGCCCAGCCCTCGTCCGTGGTCAGGGTCAGGAGAGGTACTTCCTGATAGTTGTTGACTACTACTCGCGCTACACCACGGTCTTCCCCTTGCACACCAAGGGTGAGGTCCCTGATGTCTTGATCCCTTGGATCCGCAGAGCCCGTCTCCAGCTCAGCGAGCGTTTCCGCTCGGACTTTCCTGTACTGCGCTTGCACTCTGACGGAGGTGGTGAGTTCTCCTCCGACCTCTTGGCAGCCTACTGTGCTGAGCACGGCATTGAGCACTCGTTCACGCTTCCGGCCTCTCCACAGCAGAATGGGGTTGTGGAGCGCCGCATTGGCCTGGTCATGGAGGTCGCCCGTACCTCCTTGATCCATGCGGCTGCCCCCCACTTTCTGTGGCCGTTTGCGGTCTGATACGCTGCGCACCAGCTCAACCTCTGGCCCCGTGTCTCCTTACCGGAGACCTCGCCCATGCTGCTGTGGACGGGGGAGGTTGGCGATGCGTCGCGTTTCCGGGTCTGGAAGTCTCGAGCTTTTGTCCGCGATACGTCTGCGGACAAGCTCTCCTCCCGTGCTGTTCCCTGCGTCTTCCTCGGCTTTGTCCCGGACGCGTCCGGTTGGCAGTTTTACCACGCCACCTCGCGCCGAGTCTTGCCCTCTCAGGACGTCACTTTTGACGAGTCCGTCCCCTACTACCGCCTCTTCCCCTACCGCACTGCCCCGCTTCCCCCCCCGCCTCTCTTCCTCGCGCCAAGTGCTGCTGATGCAGACCCCCTCCCCCCTCAGGGTGCCGCTCCCTCAGGTGTGTCTCAGGTAGACCCGGTTGAGCCTGTTGAGGTAGCTGTCGACTCTCGTCCTGTTAGGGGTGCTGAGCCTGGGGGTGCTGAGCCTGGGGGTGTGGAGCTTGGGGGTGTGGAGCCTGGGGGTGTGGAGCCTGAGGGTGCTAAGCCTGGGGGTGTGGAGCCTGGGGGTGTGGAGCCTGGGGGTGCTGAGCCTGGGGGTGTGGAGCCTCGTGGTGCTGAGCCGCAGAGTCCGGAGTCTGGGGGTTCTAGGTCTGGAGGTACTGGCCCTGTGAGTCCTACACCTGGAGGAGCCCTCTCCTCAGAGCAGCTGCGTACGTGGTACTTAGAGTACTGCAGCCTCCAGAGAGGTTCCACTCGTACCGGACGTACTGCTGGGACTGGTACTAGTGCAGTTTCTCCCATTAGGGAACTCCCCTCCCGCGAGCGGATCCGTGAGTGGTACGAGCGACGCTGCACTCTTAGGAGTGGCGTACCTCGTGTTGCGGACCCCACTAGCGCTGGAGCTGCCGCTGGTGCTGTTGACCCGGGCGTTGGAGCTGCTGTTGGTGCTGAGGACCCGGGCGTTGGAGCTGCCGCCGGTGCTGCGGACCCGGAAGTTGGAGCTGTTGCTGGTGCTGCGGACCCGGGCGTTGGAGCTGCCGCTGGTGCTGCGGACCCGGGCGTTGGAGCTACTGCTGGTGCTGCAGACCCGTGCGTTGGAGCTGCTGCTGGTGCTGACAGCCTGGGCGTTGGAGCTATTGCTGGTGCTGAGGACCCCGCGTTGGAGCTGCCGCAGGTGCTGCGGACCCGGGCGTTGGAGCTGCCGCTGGTACTACAGACCCGGGCGTTGGAGCTACCGCTGCTGCTGCGGACCCTGGGGCGAGTGTTCTTGCTGACTCTAGTGTCGCTGCTCGGTCCCGGCCGTACTTCGTTCCAAAGAGGCGCGTTACGTTGCACGAGGCTTCAGTCTGCAAGAGGGAGTTGACTTCTTCCAGACCTTAACCCCGACCCCAAAGATGACCACTCTTCGGGTTCTGCTGCACGTCGCCGCTCAGCGTGACTACGAGCTCCACTCGCTTGACTTCAGCTCTGCTTTCTTGCAGGGCAGCCTGCACGAGGAGATCTGGCTGCGCCGTCCACCTGGCTTCACAGGGTCGTTCCCTCCTGGTACCCAGTGGAGCCTCCGACGGCCAGTCTACGGTCTCCGCCAGGCGCCTCGTGAGTGGCATGACACACTGAGGACTACGCTTGCGGCCCTTGGGTTCGCGCCTTCTACTGCTGACCCGTCGCTGTTTCTACGCACCGACACCTCACTGCCGCCGTTCTACGTCCTTGTGTACGTTGACGACTTGGTCTTTGCTACTGCTGACACTGTGGCACTCGCCCACGTGATGTCGGAGCTGCAGAAGAGACACACGTGCACAGACCTGGGTGAAATGACAAGCTATCTTGGCTTGCGGATCACCCGGGACAGAGCACGCCGCACCATCACCTTGACTCAGTCACACATGGTGCAGCAGGTCCTTCAGCGCTTCCGCTTCACGTACTCCTCGCCTCAGCCCACTCCTCTGCCTACCGGTCACTCGCTCTCAGCTCTGCCTTCGAATGAGTCCGTAGAGCCGAGTGGCCCGTATCCAGAGCTTGTGGGTTGCCTCATGTACCTGATGACCTGCACTCGACCAGACCTTGCATACCCTCTTAGCATTCTTGCACGCTATGTCGCTCCCGGCTGTCACCGGAAGAAGCACATGGATGCAGCTAAGAGGGTGTTGTGCTACTTGTACAGTACGTTGGGCATGGGGCTAGTGCTTGGAGGGCGAGTCCGAGTTGTTCTCACTGGGCACTCAGACGCTTCTCGGGCAGACGACCAGGCTACTCAGTGGTCGTCTCAGGGTTATTCCTTCAGTCTTGGCTCTGGTTCTGTTTCTTGGCGTTCTACTCGCTCTTCTTCTGTTCTCAGCTCCAGTTGTGAGGCTGAGATCTACGCCACAGCCATGGCGGCTCAGGAGCTACGCTAGCTTACCTACTTGCTGACCGACCTTGGAGAGCAGCCTCGTTCTCCTCCAGTGCTGTACGTCGACAACAAGGCAGCCATTGCCTTGTGCCAGGAGCACAGACTGGAGCACAGAACGAAGCACATTGCTCTACGTTAATTCCTTGCTCGAGAGCTGCAGCAGCGTGGTCAGCTTCGCCTGCGTTACGTGGCCTCTGAGGCCAACACTGCTGATGTGTTCACCAAGGCGCTTCAGCCTTGTGACCATCAGCGCTTTTGCACTCTTCTAGGCCTTGTGCCTACTGGACCTCACTTGCTTACTTCTTGAGTTTGTTTGTACTGTGATCTCTATATATATACCTGCATGTTTACTCTTGTTAGGTTGTGATCATTGTACCTTTTACCCTTTATAAACCTGCATGTGAGCTGGTCTTGTGACCACTTGCTTGTGCTCAGAATTTGTGTGGTATCCTTGAGATCCACCCTGAGCTTGTTTTGCCTTGCTTTGCCTTGACTGGTCTTGTGACCCCTAGATCTCCCCCACTTTGCCTATGGGGGTGTGTCAAGCATTATATATGTTGTGTTAGTTCAGGCTACAGTGGGTTAGCCTATAGGGGATACACAATTCTAGGGTTAGGTACTTGTGCTCATTTCACTGCTAGTTCATTCATTCTTGTTTCGTACTTCTGACACCGCTCTCGCCCTAGACGGGCCCGTTTCGTTCAACCCGCACGATCTTGGTGACGTGTCGAAGGCCCCCTTCCGAACCTTGGAAGGGGCCTTTCAGCTGCACGCAAGGCGGCCCACCCCATGCAACCAACAACCACGTTTCACGTCGACGCGAATAGGGCCCCGCCGGCCTCCGCGAAGAGCTCCTCCCTCCTCCTCCAGCGTCTCGGAACGCGCCCTGCCTCCTCGCCCTTGAACCCCCCTGGTCCGTCGCGGTGGGAGGGATGGCAAACAGCTAATACCCTTCGTCCGGTCTCATTTTGTTGGTGTTTCCGATTTCTACTTCCCTACTTCCTAGTCCCTGCTAGTTCCCGACTCCCCAGCACGCCAGCCCTCTCCACTGCTAGGCCTGACATGGCTACGAGCTCCGCCTCCGTACCCGTCATGAACGAGGCGACGGCTCGACGCGGCCTCATCCTTAGTGCAGACGGGGTCAAGGTGGAGGTGTACGAGGACCAGCAGAATGCGATTAGAGAGGCGTCAAAAGGGGAGCTCGACGAGAGCATGATGGTCGCGGGCGTCGTGTACGTGTCATGTCGAACATTTTCGGTTTGCCATGTTTGGGTTTACCAATCGCTGACGTTGCCTTAGCTTTCCGTGCAGCCTGTTCTGTCATGAGCTGCTGTCCGTCGAGCAGCTCCCCAAGGTGTCGATTGTGACTCCGGCGCGTGCGCGTGAAGAGATGGCACGTCCCACCCCGGTCGCTTTTGCGAACAACCACCTCGACGGCCTCCTCGGCAAGCAAGTGGTTTTCGTTCTGCTGTGGACACCGTGAGTTCGACACTCTACCGTCGCCTACTCTCCCGTCGCCTTGCGTGCTCCGTCTTTAGCCCTGAACCCGTTCTCACGTGCATTGGCTCTGCATGCAGAGTTAGTGTGCCTCCGTTCTCCCACTCGAGCCTGTTTGTGGTATCGCGCCCCGACGATCTGCTGGCTCCGAGGCCCCGTGGCAGTCGAACTCGAATGATGCACTTCGATTCGAAAGACAAGTTTCCCGATATGAACCACCAATCTTCTCTGGCGCAAGAAGTTTTCATGTGAGTGACAGCTTTGCCACCCTGCTGTTGAGCTGCTGTTCTCGACAATCTTACTCTTCTGTCCGCTGCGTTGCAGGTGGATGAAGAAGCAGCTTCGCGCCGAGTACGCGATGACCCTCCAGGCTCTGACCGAGGACGACCAAGAAGTGTTGAACGTGATGGACCTTCGTTTGGAGTTGAACGAGGATTTCGACCATCTGGTAAGCTCTCCTTAGACCACCAGCGTTTTCGTCAAGCATGTGTTTTGTCGCTTACGTATGTTTTGTACCCATCGCAGACGACGACGGCCTTGTCGAGCCCCTATCAAAACGGCGCGGCAGCTCGTGTCGTCCATGGGGTGCGCCGGATTCTGACGAAATGGGACGACTTCATCCTACAGCCTCAAAAGGGCGAACTCGTGCATCTAGGGAGAACGAACCCTGGCCCGGGTGTGCTTACGTTGTTCATGGTCAAGCTGTTTTTGAGAAAGATCGACCAGCTGGCGGAGGGAGCAGGTGTGGGAGGGGGTGCCGACCACGAGGGAGGAGGCGAGAAGACGGGACGCGTCGTGATTGAGTACAGCGTCGAGGAGGAGGAGGAGATTGAGGAGGATACATCGAGGCAGGCTCAACACGGGGCGAGCGGCCCGGGCGGCGATGCAAACCAGGACAAGGACTCGAGCTCGGGAACGAGCTCCGGCTCGAGCTCGAGCGATGAGTCGACCGAGGACGATGGCGAGGGCGCCGGACATAGAACGGAGCGTACGGGGGAGCACGGAGTGGCGCTCGGGGAGCGGGTGGACGAGCGAGTAGAGCTTATCGAGCAGCAGGCGACAGAGGAAACTAAGGCTGTCGAGGAGCAGGAGGGCGGAGCGGCTGCTCAGGAGGGTGGGGTCGGAGGGCAGCGGCAGGTGGTGGGCGAGGCGGCTGCGCAGGAGGGCGGGGCAGGAGGGCAGCAGCAGGAGGGCGTGGCGGCTGCGCAGGAGGGTGGGGCAGGAGTGCAGCAGCAGGCGTTTAGGGTTGCGGCTGCGCGGGTGGGTGGGTTGGGAGGGCAGGAGCAGGAGGACTGGGAGGTTGCTGAGGAGTATCGTCAAGGAGATGAGCGACAATCCGCCGTAACAAGGAGTTACCGCACGGCCAGTGGCAGCGGACAGGCGGGCCCTTCGGCCGGGTGGCCTTCGACGGCAGGTTAATCGACGGCGAACATTGCACCGGGAGGCCAGGTCGCTGAGCTACTGCAGAGGGTCGAGAAGGTCGAGGCGTCGCAGAAGCAGGTCGTCGCCGATGTCTTTGCGAAACACACTGAGCAAGCCGGAGTATTCAACAGGCTTGATGCGGATTTTCGGACAGCGTGGAATAGGATTTCGGAGTCGTCGAAGAGCACACTGTCGCAGTGCGCCGAGGTTGTGAAGGGTGTCACGGCGGAGAGGAACCTGTTGGAAGGGGCGCGGGCGAAGATCGACGAGATGAGCGGGAAGATCATCGAGGGGGTGGCAGCCGCCATCACAAAAGCGAGCGAAGACGCCGTCGAGAAGCATCTCAAGTAGGTCGAGGAGCGGCTGGTTGCTGCGGTGCTGAAGGGTTTCGAAAAAGCCATCATGGAGGACATGTTCTGCTCCACCCTCCCACCCGAGACCATGAAGGAGCTGAAGGACATTGTGAGGGAAGGCTACCATGAAGCCAAAGCAGGGAGGTTGGAAGTCCTCACCGAAGCGATGGCGAGAGGTTTTCAGCGCTCGGCGGGCCCGTCAACGAGATCGCGTCAGGAGGGTGTGGGAGGGGTTCGCAGCGGGGCTGAGCCTCGTGGTCACGAGCGGTCGGTTCCTCCGTCTTCTTTGGTGGGAGGACATGTCGGCAGCCCGGTTGGATCCCCACCGGCGCGTGGCCGTCGTCCCGTCGCCAAGCCCGTCAAGGAAGTCATCGTACTCGACCAGTCGCCCCGCCCGAAGACCTCCGTAGCGGCTCCGATCGATCCACCTGATGCGTTTGCTTCGATGCGGGACATGCTGCAAGGCCTGGGGAAAACGGGTGGGAAAGGAGTGGTCGCGGGGGAGAAAAGTGGTGCCCTGAACGAGCACGTCGCCTCGACCGGGAACAGAGCTCTAGGAATGCAAGGTGCCTCTACCCCGTCAGGCGGCGGTGTGGGGAAAGGAGCGGGAGAAGCAAGCGCTGGGTTGCTGTCGAAGACTAAAGCGGCATCAGCTGCGCAAGGCGGTGGTGCTGGCCTTGCTGTCGGGCTTGTGGGAAATTGGGCGTCTTCCTTGACCCCTCCAGTTGCTCCTGTCGCCGCTGCTCCGTCCCTAGGCAACGTTTGTCTTAGCGATCCGGGCTCCCCTTCAACGTCGAAGAAGAAGCCGGCTGCGACGAAGTCGTCGAAGCGCGCTGCACACGCGACAGAGAGCCTTGACGTGGTGGAGCTGGCCAGCGTCCCTGGTCAGGCGACTGTCGAGAAGACCTCTATTGTCGTTGCTGCTCGACAGGAAAAGGCGAAGAAGGCCAGGGTCACGGGTCACACCCCACCTCCTCGAACGGACGACCAAGGCAAGACGAGAGGCTGCAAACGTCCGTTCAAAGGACCGGGTTTCGGGTTGCGGAAGGGGAAGCCGGTTTCCGAGCACACCGTCGGCGGGAGGAAGCGGTTCCTTGGCACTTTTGAAACAGAGAAGGACCAGAAGTTCTGTACGGCCGTCTACTGGCGCGTGTACTTCCCCGACGTTGTCCTTACGGAGTACGAAGGGTACATGGCGCAGGATGAGGAGGACTGGAAGGTCTACCTCGATGCGGCCGCAGAAATGCCAGCCGGCGTTTGGAGCGTGGCGCAAGAACAAGGGGAATGTCGTTTCGACGAGTAAGTTCTGTCGAAGTCATGTTGCTAGACTCTGCTATCGAGTTCCTGCTGTTTTGGTGAATTGTCGAACACCATCTGTTTTGCGGTGAATGTGCTGTCGGTCGAATTCTGGCCTCTTGACTCACGCATTTCTTGCAATGTGCAGTTACCTGTCGCTCTTGGCGACGGAAAAAAAGGAAGTGAAAGCTGGAACCGAGAGGGGAATCGCGCTGTGCGTGGCGATTGGTAAGGTCGCGACGCTTGGCCTGAAGCACGGTAATCTGATTTACCCGATCCGGAAGGGCATGGCGGCGACACCGCACATGATGGCCATCGCAGCAGCTGTGGCGAGCTTGTGGGCGGCCAGCAGGAAGTTGTCGAGGGAGGATATTAAGAAGGATGCCCTAGTTGCCGCAAACGCGGCGATCTACGCCCCGAAGACTGCACAGAAGGCTTGTGTGGCTGCCATGTCTGCACTCGTGTCCATACTTTTGCACGTCGGCAAGACGTTCCCGGCAAAGCAGTGGCCCGATCACCTGTATTCGTCGGCTGTCAAAGGTCTCGGCTCGACGGACGCCATACTGCTGCAGATGCTGCGCGTGGCAGCACAGGTCTGTACGCAATGGTGCTGCTGTCGAGCTGCTGCCCGCTTGCTGGAGGACGCGGGCTATGGCAGCCTGGCTATGCCAGAAGAAAAGAGCAAGGCGAAGCAGGGCGACGAGGATGCAGCTGAGACGGAAACGGGCGGGCAAGGGGAGTAGTCTACGCGGGCACTTTGCGTGGGAGTGTTTGCTATTCTCGACAGTTGTGCTTGTTGTTTCCAAAGTTTAAGCGACAGAATGTACATGCTGCATGGATCTTGACTTTCCGTTTGCGATAATGCTCAGAAGGTTCATACAGGCGAGATGGTTGGTCAGTAATGAGAACTTGCCATGCAATCTCTAAAAGAACACCCTACTCTAGTTTCGCCCCTCGTCATGATTGCCTGTCAAACTTGGGCTCTCGCCCCATGTTTTCATGAACTCTTTCCATTTGTCTTTGAACACGTTCTCGGCCCATTTCGTGGTTTGAAGCTCGACGCGAATGAGCTCCCGCGTGATCCTGAGGCAATGTTTGTCCTTCCGGTTGTCTTCTGCTGTCTCGACTTTGCGCTTCTTCGTGAGCTGCTTCCCCGAATCCTCTTTGAGAACGAGCCCTTCAGCCAGCATGTTGATCGAGTGGTTCGTGACTATTGAGTCAAGCTTATCAATGATCGTCAACGTAGTCGCCCTGCTGTCATCGACCCTGAACATCTCGACGGCCCTCATGACAACCTCCATCTTCCGCAATCTCGACTCGACAGCTTTTGGGGTCGGTGGCTTTTCTTTTGGCTGGTCCACCGCACTGGGGGGAACGGTGGGAGGAGCCGGAGTGAACTTGCTGAACTTGACGGCGAAACCCCTCCTGTAAGCGTGTCGAAGACTGTGTCCGTTGTTCAGCGGGCTTGGCCCGTCCCAGTACGACCACGCCTGCCGCACGGTCTCGCAAGTGCACCACGGCCACACCACTGCGTCGAAGAATGTTTGGTCGAGCTGGCTGCCCTTGCTCTGTTGAGTGGGCGTTGATTGAGGGGGCTGCTGTGGTGGCGGGGTGGTTTCTTTGGTCGCCGTCTTCGGCACACTCTCACTCCCCCCTACATTCGCAACTGCGGTTGTCGCGGCGGTAATCTTCAGTGCGTCGAACGCTTTTTGCAGTAGTGCGAGTGCTTCTGCCTTCGCCTCCAACTCCGCTTGCATCGCGCCCTTCTCCCGCTCCAATGACTCGACCTTCTACTCGAGGCCCTTGATCTTGATTTCTATTTTCCCACCCTCCTCCTTGTGTAAGTTTACCTCTGCCCGAAGTTGCGTGATGAGGTGCTTGGTGTTGAGTTGAAAGGATGCGTCCTGCGCATAAGATCACGAGCGGTAGGTAAGTGGGCTGATGCAAACTGTTCGGATTAAGATTTATAAGGGCCATCTTACCGAGGCTCTTGACAGCGTGGGGTTGGTCCGCATCTCGATGCCGTACTTGTCAAGCAGGTACACGTCAAGCGCCCATTTTTGGAAATCCATATCCTTGCACAAACCGGACATCTGTGCATATGGGTGACGCTCGTAGTCGCAAACAGTCACTCCGTCGAAGGGGTGGTCGTCACAATGGACGTAGTACATCGCAAGATCCTCGGCGATGGGCATTCGGGCGGCTTGCAGGGCCTTCAAGAAACTTTTCGCTGCGAAGAACATATGCTCCTTGTCCTGCTCGTTGTTCCATTCCATTGCCTGAATAAGAACAAACTTGGTGACATTGAGAGATAGATCCAATGCAAAAACTTGCATTCGATGATCACGCTAAGCGCTCGACGCATCCATACCTCGTCGAGCCACTGCTCCGCCTTTGGAAATATGTGCTCCTTGATAGCCTTCAGGACCTTCGCGGGTACTTCGGTCTTCGATCTTCCAAGGTAATAGTCACCGGATTCTGTCGTGAAACCCGCTTGCAGCTGGATGGCCCCGCGCGGGATGCCTGTGACGTATGACCTGCGCATCTCGTTCATGTCCCATTGACCCAGCTGCGCGATGTTGTCAAGTTCACAGTTTTTGTCGGCGAGGATCTGTGCCGCAGACCGTCGAAATATATGTGTGACTTTCGACAGGATCCACTCCGCGCTTTTCATCGCCTAGGTAACCCATTTGGCATGAGTCGCGTACGGCAACTCGGTCTTGTCGTTGTCGAAGAGGGCGAAGAACAGGTGCTTCTTTGACCAGTTTTCCGGGTTGCTGAAATCCAAGGGGGGCACGATCTTATCGTTGTTGTAGTGGAGCGGCACAAGGTCGAAAATGAAATGTATCCACATGAACACTGCTCCGAAGCCGCACTGCCGGAAGTCCATGTGTCGAGTCAGGTACAGGTGGCCGAGCTTGTTGTCTTTGATGGTCTTCGAGTTGCGATAGGCGACCACGAGAACGTGGATCGACGATTCCCCCTTGCTGTTCGTGATGGGCGGAAGGACGTGAGTGAACATATTGCAGTAGCGGATCTCGCGGATGCTTATCCCCCTGCCCAGCATGTGATGCGCCATCAGGATCATCACCCTCACGGCCAAGGCCCTCCATAGCGACTGACTGGGGTAACTCATCGACTCCCGAAAGTACTCCTTGGCCCAGTACGGCAGGATGTCTGAAACGAGAATGCGGAACTGCTCCTCCGTGTAAACATCGTCGAGCGAGCCCCGGTGTGGATCGACGCACTGCCTGCATTGGGTGGGCAGATACAGCAAGTACTTGGGTGAGAATTTGAGCGGTGAGTTTTAGAGTCCGGTGTATGGGAGCCTACTTACTCGAACTTAAAGTCGTGCAGCTGCCGCAGCTTGACCGCAAGAAGCTGCCGGGCCTCGGTGATGTCGTCCAAGGGTTTTGTTAGTGGCTCGTCGAAGAGTATGGCCTCTACTCTGCAGAAGCACGTCAGCGCAGTAAGGCGCGCCAGCATCAACGGAGGGGTGCTTTTTTTCGCCTTCCTTCCAGCGACTCTGGACCGGCCTGTGTCCAACGATGCCGCCTGTTGGTCGGTTTCAGTCGACATATATTTGACGTACGTGCGCAAGCGCCATTTTGTTATTTTCGGCCCATGCAGGTGCTCCTCGTTACGCAGCGCCTCCCTCCCTCTCGGCCCCATATCGTCGCCGATCTCCCTACCGATCTCGTCCTCGTAGATCACCTGGTCCTCTTTAGGCACTCCGTTGCTTCTCTTAGGTGCCAGAATTTTACAGGCCCAAGCTTTGTAGTGCATGCTTCCAGAGACATAGTTCGGCCGTGTGGAATCCTGGTCAACTCCCAGCAGCGGAACCTCACACTGAAGAATCCTGCTTTTAAGTGTTCCGGTCGCCAAGTACGGATTGTCTGCGCCCGGTTGGTCGTCGAGAATGTGCGCGGCATCCTCCTCTGATATATTTGCCGCAGCAGGCCGCAGAGGGTACGGCGGTTCGACATCGTCCGCCTCGTGCTGTTCTCCCGTCCGAACATCCTCATCGTCCGTCGCTTCAGGGACGTTCCTGGCCAAGTCCTCTTTGCTTGGTCTCGTCGAAGTGCGCCTAGGAGCGGCGGGGGCGGCTCAAGAAGCGGATGTGCGGGCTGGGGGTGGTTGGCGAACCTCTGTCGGAACAGCCCTCGCTCTCCTACGTCGCCCATCTGTCGAGGTCGGTGCACCAGCCGAAGGTTCCGTCGAGCGGTGGGCTGTCGACGATGGTGCACGGTGAGCTGGAGCCTCGTGTGTAAAGGGGGCATTTGTTGTCGAGATGGGTTCTACGACAACAGGTATGGATTGACCTGTCGAAGGGAATTCGGTCTGTGCACCACCCACTTCAACAGTGACCGGAATACCCGTCGAACGCTGGTCCGTAACAACCGGCTGTATTACTACCGGTATGGCTCGCGACGTCGAGGTGGGCGCTGCCACCTCCGGTATGGCACGCGTCGTCGAAGGGGGCGCGGAAGAAACCGGCCTGTCTCTAGACGACGAAGGGGGTGGTGTCGATGTGGACTCCAATTCGACAGGTATACGTCCTACGTCCGCCTCCCGGGAAGGCGCTGTCGTCGACGGATCGGTCTCCATCAGTGCCCACCAAAAGCTACCAGTTCTCCCTAAATCCTGGCGTGCTGAGGAAACAGTGGTGCTTATACTAAGAATTCAGGTTTATACAGCGACGTTGGGCTGATGTTGCTCCCCGTGGAGACTGGGACAGCAGTCAGCAGTTGACGTGACCGTTTGACTGCAACTGACGTGACCCGTCGCCCATCCGACAGCGACAGTTCGCTCGACCGACGAGGCGACAGGTCGGCCGCAGTTGACGTCTCTGTCGATTGCGACCGTCGGCCGGTTGCGAAACACGTTTCGCAACCGTCGACCGTCGGCACCACCGTGTAGGCCATTCCCTGGCGACTTGCCACCGGGTGTAACCAGTGTTGTCGGGGGTGCACGGTGCTCGACGACGATTGGCCAATGTACGTCGAGCACTGTTCGACAAATGTCCCCGAAATTGCAACAGTGCGGCTGACATATATATTGGCATAAGAATACGACATGAACGCGCGGGTTTCTGCGGGTTTTTTTTGCCTGGTCAGCCGAGAATTTCCAGGGGCCCGGAGGGATTCCGCGGGTTTTTTTATTTGCCTCGATTCTCTTTGTGCCAGGGCGGGCGGGGCGGCATGCAATGACGTCACCCGTGTGTATATAATTGGTACTCTCCTCACAAACAACACCCCGCTATGCCAGATTTGTCGCCATCCCCGCTAATCTGGCGTAGCGGGGCATTATTTGTGCATTGTAGGGTTCTGTACTGTAGTAAGTCTCCTGGGGCCACGTCAGCATTACACGAGTGTATGTAGCTCCCTATGTCAACTCGTCACATCCGCAACCTTATCCGCTCCTCGCCTCTACTATGTGTACGAAGCAGAACATGTTGCTGCACCTGCTCGCGCGGGAGGGGGGGAGACGTTCGCAATCGCCGCAAACTAGCGGCTCGAGGTCACTAACTATCAGTGGCCCATCATGGGATGGGATCATACTGTTGCGCTTAGTCAGCAAAGCGTGCTGAATCCACCGCAAGCAGTTGGGCACCGCAGGCAGGCAGTCGAGCCGAGTCTGCTCGAGCTCGACCAACCTCAGACCAGATCCGTTCAGAGCGTCCACTCCACTCCTCAGCACATCCGCATGTGCCATGCCCGCCGCGCGATCGTCTTTCCGCAACTCCTCCTGGCGCCCCCCTTCGTGTAGTATCATGTTTCTGCGGCTGCTCTCCCAGCCCGCCGCATCATCATCGTCGCCGCATTGCACCAACGAAGCCAAGGGGCTTCATTATACAAACCCCCTCCTCCGCACCCAGTGTTTCTTATCGTTTCACTCCTCTCCTCTTCCCAATGTCTCCTCGGCGGTTCTAATTCTACTACCGCTAGCTGTCGTCGTCGCTAATTGCCCCTATCAAGCAGCAAACATCCCAGGATTTTCGCGCAGCAGATCTTACTCGAAGTTGGCAACTTCCGGCCAAACCAAAACCAAGCCGCACGACGCCGGCGCACCGCCGTAGCCGCCACTGCCCAAGTCGGCTCCGCCCTCCCTCTGCGATGAAGCACCCGCGAGCAGCAGCATCACGGCTGCGCCGGCTTGCCGTTGCCATGGCGATAGCGTTCTGGCTTGTCGCTTTCAATGCGTTGTCGCCGTGCCACGCGCAAGTGATGGGTGCTAGCAACACCCCGCCAGGCGTACTTGTCAATGCCAGTCAAGGTAATAGTAGTACTGTCCTGCTGGTTCCACTGCCCGCCCTACTGTGCAGCCTATATCAAGTACTAGCCTTGTATGCCTGATCAGCTCAGACAAGCTCTCCGCCATGGTTCCTACGATAACTTCAACTCGTGCAATGTCAAGCTAACCTTTATCAGCTTCAAGATCTGAATACATATTTTGGGTCTGCTCATCAAGGGCTTGATTTCGACACCACTTTATGTTCAAACAGAGAACATTGGTTCGTCGGGACTTCCTCTTGTGGAGATCTGTTTTTAGGTTCTTAAACTGGCTTTAAGCTCAAGACATTAAGTTGCTCTAAGGAAGCTATAATGCCCAGGCTTAGCACAAGTCATCATCGAAGCTGGAACCTGGAAAGCAACACAGACACAAGACATGAGACGAGAAAGTACAAGGCAGCTGGACCGCCAAATATTTTTCGCCTATCAATCTTCTCTGCCATTCTTCGACAAGAGACAAGAAATGAAACGTCTCGTTACCCGCGGACATGTTTATTACCACCGTCAAGAGCGACTAAATCCGGATCAGCGATGGTTTCTGACAAGACACGGTATACATCCTGTTTGCAGCAAACGCAAAGTGAAGGACATTTAAAATGGCTCCCGCGAAGAACTACAAGTGCAACACTTTCTGCCTTCCTACATCGTTCACGATTCACAGGAGCTTCACGCTCGTCACAGCCATGCACGACAAGGAATAACTACGAGTCTGAACCAAGATCATGTTCCAAACGATCGACTCTGACCATATCAGTTCAAGAACTACCAATATTCCGAATGGCTTCACTATCAACTCAAGAAGAAAGTTTCTCTATATTTCTTGGCGACGAGTTATGGCAACATGATGTTGACATGAAGAAGCATATCATGGTGGATTCTACGGAAGAACATTTTCAGGATAAGCCTATGTTGCTGGAGGAAACAGGGCTATGGCGCCATGTTACGACTGCGGTGTGTGAAGCTACTCAAAATTCTGTCGCGGATGCAGCTGTGAAACTAACTGAACAGGAATGAGAATGACTAAGTCAGAGTTGGGTACAAAAATGCAACCCTAGCAAACTGTACCCCATATGTGCTACCCCACTATAGCCTACAAACATGCATCAGCTATAATAATCTGACACACCCCCATAGGCAAAGTGGGGGAGAACAAGGGGTCACAAGACCAGTCAAGTAAAGCAAAGCAAGCTCAGGGTGGATCACAAAGTCACCACACAGTCCGAGCACAAGAGCAAGGCCAGAGGCCAGTTCACATGCAAGAGTACAGACATATATATAAAACTAGACAAGCAAGAGCAGGTATATATATGTCAAAGTACAAGTAAAGTTAAGAAGAGAGCAAGTGAGGCAAGACAGGTACAAGACCCAGCTGGGTACAAAAGCGCTGATGGTCGCAAGGCGCAAGTGCCTTGGTGAACACATCAGCAGTGTTGGCCTCAGAGGCCACGTAAGCAAGTCGCAACTGACCACGCTGCTGCAGCTCACGAGCAAGGAAGTAGCGGAGAGCAATGTGCTTCGTTCTGTGCTCCAAGCGCTGCTCTCGACACAAGGCCAACATGGCCTTGTTGTCTACGTACAGCACTGGAGGAGAACGAGGCAGCTCTCCAAGGTCAGTCAGCAGGTAGGTGAGCCAGCGAAGCTCCTGTGCAGCCATGGCCCCGGCGTAGATCTCAGCCTCACAGCTGGAGCCGAGAACCGAAGACGAGCGAGTAGACCGCCACGAGACAGAGCCGGAACCAAGGCTGAAGGTGTAACCCTGTGACGACCGCTGCGTAGCCTGGTCGTCAGCCCAAGAAGCGTCTGCGTGCCCAGTAAGGACCACTGGACTCCGCCCTCCAAGCACTAGCCCCATGCCCGACGTACTGCACAGGTAGCGCAATACCCTCTTCGCTGCAGCCATGTGCTCTGGTCGGTGTCTCCCAGGAGCAACATAGCGTGCAAGGATGCTCAGAGGGTATGCAAGGTCAGGTCGTGTGCAGGTCATCAGGTACATGAGGCAGCCAACAAGCTCTGCATACGGACCACTCGACTCTACGGACTCATCCGAAGGCAGAGCTGAGAGTGAGTGGCGAGTAGGCAGAGGAGTGGCCTGAGGCGAGGAGTACGTGAAGCCGAAGCGCTGAAGGACCTGCTGCACCATGTGTGACTGAGTCAGGGTAATGGTGCGGCGTGCTCTGTCCCGAGTGATCTGCAAGCCAAGGTAGCTGCGCAGTTCACCCAGGTCTGTGCACGTGTGTCTCTTCAGCAGCTCGGACTTCACGTAGGCGAGTCCAGCAGTGTCCGCTGTGGCAAAGACCAAGTCGTCGACGTACACGAGGATGTAGAACGGCGGCAGGGAAGTGTCGGTGCGAAGAAACAGCGACGGGTCAGCAGTAGAAGGAGCAAACCCAAGAGCCGCAAGCGTAGTCCTCAGTGTGTCGTGCCACTCACGCGGTGCCTGGCGGAGACCGTAGACTGGCCGTCGGAGGCTCCACTGGGTGCCAGAAGGGAAAGTCCCAGTGAAGCCAGGCGGACGGCGCAGCCAGATCTCCTCGTGCAGGCTACCCTGCAGGAACGCAGTGCTGAAGTCGAGAGAGTGAAGCTCGTAGTCGCGCTGAGCGGCAATGTGCAGCAGCACCCGAAGAGTGGTCATCTTCGGGGTGGGAGAGAAGGTCTGAAAGTAGTCAACTCCCTGCCGCTGACTGAAGCCACGAGCCACGTAACGCGCCTTGAAGACAGGCGGCGAGCCCGGCGGCCGCTTCACCCTGAAGATCCACATGCCACTGACGATGTTCGCCCCAGGAGGGGGAACCGCGTCAACGTAGGTGCCTGTGGACTTCCAGGAAGCCATCTCTGCATCCATAGCTGCCTGCCACTGAGAGGAGTAGGGACCCTCTACGGCCTCCGCGTAAGAACGCGGAGTCGGGATGTCTAGTGCATCCGGGTCTCCCTCAGGGGCTAGCAGTACAGACGCGAGACGAGGTGAAGCAGCGGCTAGACACTGGAACTCCTCCTGCCTGTCCTCTAGGACGTCCGTGCCAAGGGCACACTCACCCCCGACGGACGGAGGACAGGCGGACTCTGACTCAGCGACAAGACGAGCAGCGTAGTCTAGACGACAGCGCGCAGCAAAGTCGACAAGCTCAGTGACAAGGGCAGACGCAGCAGACGACTCGAAGGAAGGGTCAGTGACAGCAGTAGCAAGGAGACGCGTGACAGTAGGACTGGCAGCACGAAGAGAGTCCGACTCCGGGTCGGCAAGAGCAGGAAGAGAGGAAGCAGGAGGAGAAGGCAAAGGGGCACGCAGAGGAGCAGTGGACGGACGCAGTGACATCCGGTGCGTGCCAGGGACAGGAGGAGGACGCTGACGCGACCCGCGACCACTAGCGCGCTCAGTACGAACAGGCGACGCAGGACGAGACGCAGGCTCACGACGCTCAGTAAGGCCTCCAGTCGGACCAGCGTAGGGAGAAGGAGCAGGCAAAGGGGAGGCAGGCTCTAGCTGTGGCGGTGACCGGACAGGGTGCGGACCCTCCAAGGGAGGAGGAGGAGGAGCAAGACCAAGAACCTGCTCCAGGAGCGGAACGAAGTACGGTCGAGACCGCGCGGCGACGCCAGAAACAGCAGGAACAGAACCAGCAGCACCGGCCGGAGTACTCAGTCCAGCAGCACCTCCAGTAGAACCACCAGAAGCTCCAGAACCTCCAGCAGCAGCACCAGGAGCACCGTCAGTCGGACCACCAACCGCAGGCTCAGCGCCAACGTCCTCAGCAGGACCAGCTCCAGGAGAACCCTCAGACCCAGCAGCTCCAGCACCCACAGGACGAGCACCGCCAGGTCGCGTGGCAGCAGCGCCCTCCGCAGCCGAAGAACCACCAGCACCAGCGGCACGCCTCCAGCGCCGGGCAAACCACTCACGCAGCTCCTGTGGAGAGAGCGGCTCCCGGCGAGACGAAGCACCCCCAGGCACAGCACCTCCAGGCTCGGCACCTCCAGGCTCAGCACCCCCAGGCTCAGCACCCCCAGGCTCAGTACCCCCAGACACAGCACCCCCAGGCCCAGCACCCCCAGACTCCGCACCCCCAGGCTCAGCTCCCGCAGCAGCACCAGAGTCACCAGTGACCTCGACAGGCTCAACCGCGGCTACCTGAGACACACCTGAAGGGGCAGGACCCTGAGGGGGAAGGGGGACTACTGGGGGGGGACCTGGTACCAAGAAGAGCGGGGGTGGGGGGAGGGACGGAGAGCGGTAGGGGAAGAGGCGGTAGTAGGGTACCGACTCGTCGAACGTGACGTCCTGGGAGGACAGAACACGTCGAGAGGTGGGGTGGTAAAACTGCCACCCAGGGGCGTCGGGGGGGAACCCCAGGAAGACGCAGGGAGAAGCACGAGGGGACAGCTTGTCCGCAGACAGGTCGCGAACAAACGCCCGAGATCCCCAGACCCGGAACGCCGACGCATCGCCAACCTTCCCCGTCCACAGCAGGGCTGGGGAGGTCTCCGGTCGAGAGACCCTGGGGTGGAGGTTGATCTGGTGCGCAGCGTACCTGACCGCAAACGGCCACAGAAAATGGGGAGCAGCCGCATGCATCATGGACGTACGAGCGACGTCCATGACCATGCCAATGCGGCGCTCAGCGATCCCATTCTGCTGTGGTGAGTCCGGAAGCGTGAAGGTCTGGCGGATGCCTCGCACACGACAGTAGGCACTCAGGAGGGCAGAGGAGAACTCTCCGCCTCTGTCCGAGTGCAGACGCAAGACAGGGAAGTCAGAGCCAAAGCTTCTCCGAAGCTGAAGACGAGCTGCGTGGATCCAGTCGATCAACACCTGAGTGACCTCACCCTTGCTGCGCAAGGGGAAGACTGTGGTGTAACGCGAGTAGTCGTCAACCACCAGCAGGAAGTAGCGCTCCTGACCCTGTCCACGGACGCGGGCTGGGCCCCACACGTCCATGTGAAGCGTCTGCAACGGGGCCTCTGTCGGAGGAAACTGGGAGGAGTGAGGGGCAGCACGCTGGCGCCCCTCGACACAGGGGACACAGGCAGGGCCAGGGCCCGGAGGAAGGGGAGGGAGGGACCGGGGAAGACCAGACACAAGGACCCGCGAGGCCATGCCTCTGAGCCGAAGCAGAGAGGGGTGGCCAAGGCGGTGGTGCCAGAGGAGGGTCTCGTGAGACAGACGACGACACGAACAAGGGGCAGACTCAGGACCAGACCTGGACGCTGCAGCAAACACCTGACCAGACGAAGGGGCCCTACCAGACGCAGTACCTGGAGGAGAAGCAGTGGTCAGTGTGTACAGGCTCGACCCCGGCCGACGTGTAAACGTAGCCAGGTGGCGACCTGTATCCGCCTCCGTACAGTGGGTCACCCGCTGACGAGCAGGGGTGAACTGGTGGACACCTGCATCCTGGAGGTCAGCACCACTCACCAAGTTCGTAGAGAACGAGGGGAGGTAGAGACCAGTCAAGGTGCCAGAGGGGGCCGCCGGACACGGGAGGACAGTGGAGAAGCGAGACAGGACAGGCCCGCCAGAGGGGTCCGCCAGGGACACCGCAACAGGCCGACTCAGCGGCGTGAGAGTGGTGCGGTCCCTAAAGAAGGAGCGAGACGCTCCAGAGTCAAGGGTGAAGGTGTGAGAGGCCGAAGCCGACACAGTACCTGAGAGGGCGGACTCACCAGTACCTGAAAGCACAGACGCACTGGCACCTAGAGCAGCAGCCTCACTAGTACCTGACGCGGCAGTACCAATGCCCGGGTCGGGCGGGAAACACCGGTAACAGTCATCCTCATCACTACCAGTCACAGCATACATAGCAGAGAGAATAGCATCAAAGTCAAGATCATAAATAGCTACACCAGCCCTAGACAGCTCTCCCCAGCGGGGGATCTCAGCGGCCTCCGGAAACTGCTGACGCCAGGCGTCGGTCAGGCGGCCAAAGCAGCGACGGGCTGTGTGGGCGCCTCCACACCTCTCCCCTGCACGGTCACCAGTGCGAAGAACGTAGGGGCAGGGACCAAGCGCACCACCGCGCTGACGCTGCAAGTACCACTCACGGAGCTGCTGAGGGCCGGGGACGGTGCGAGAGCGCTGCTGCTGCTGCGGCTGCTGCTGCGGCTGCTGCTGCTGCTGCTGCTGGCGCTGACCACCCCCAGAGCTGCTCCGCTGGGACGAACCACTCCGACCCCCTCCTCCACCGCCACCCCCGCCTCCACCGCCACCCCCGTCGCCACCGCCACCTCCCCCACCAGGACCGTCGCTCCCACCGCTCCCACCGCCTCCTCCGCTACCACCTCCACCGCCACCTCCGCCTCCACCGCCGCCACTACTACCTCCACTCCCGCCACCACCCCCCCCGCCACCCCCACTCCCCCCTCCACCCCCACCGCCTCCTCCACCGCCCCCTCTGGCTCCACCCGCTCCCTTGCCTCCCTTGCCCTTGCCAGTGCGGCGTCTGCCACTGGGGGCAGACGCCGCGCCGACCGACTCAAAACCAACGAGGTCGGCCGCAGCGGCAGAGGCGACAGAGGGCAGCAGGGGGGAGGGACTACACCCCTCAAAGATGGGGGTGCGAGGGTCACCCCGAGAGGCCCCTACAGCGACAATACTCTTCTCAGCCGCTAGCAGGGACTCCTCAAGGAGGTCGACAGTGAGAGTGGTGGGACAGACAGAGAGAAACTGGTCCCTAACGACACGAAGGGACTCAGAGAGACGGGTGACGAGAAAGTAGAGGGTGATGTACATGGGAGGAGGGTTCGCAGCGCGGAACTCAGCAGGAAGGGCAGCGCGGTAGCGGGTGTCACTAGCGCGGAGGTGGGTAACGAGGTCAGCGACAGTGGGAAAGGAAGCGAGGTCAGGGAAGAGAAACGGTAGCATGAGGCGGCTAAGGGTAGCGGAGGAAGGGGAGGAGTAGCGTGCAACTACAGCGTCGTACAAGGCCTGAGCGGTCTTGCACTGACTAAAGTGGGCACGCTCAGAGGAAGGGAGGTGGCGACGCACAGCAAGACGTGCAGCAGCATCGCGGGTCGCCCACTTGGAGCGAACGGCAGAGTCAGCATCAGCAGGCGGGGCAGGGACAGCGCCAGAGACAAAGTCAAAGAGAGAGACCTCATCTACCGCATCACACAGTAAGTACAGCTGCAGGTCCTCGATCCAGACGGCAAAGTCAATGGCCCTCCCCTCAGCGTCAAAAGTGAGAACATTGGGGGTGGCCATGGCAGCAGCTGAAAGTCTCACCGGGATGGGAGAGTCGGGTAGGTCAGCAGCAGGCGGCTCGGGCTGCTCGGGCGGCTCGGGCGGCTCGGGCGGCTCGGGCGACTCGGGCGGCTCGGGCGGCTCGGGCGGCTCGGGTACCGGGCGGCTCGGGCGGCTCGGGTGCTGCTGGGCGGCTCGGCTGCTGCTGGGCGGTTCGGCTGCTGCTGGGCGGCTCGGGTGCCGCTGGGCGGCTCGGCTGCGGCTGGGCGGCTCGGCTGCTGCTGGGCGGCTCGGCGGGGCCGTCAGGGTGCAGCTGCGGGGCCGGGACAGGGGACGGCGGAGCCGTCAGGTGGCGGGCCAGTAGGCGAGGTGGCGAGCCGTCAGGTGAGGCGGCGGGGCCGTCAGGTCAGGTGGCGGGCCAGCAGGTGAGGCGGCGGGGCCGTCAGGTCAGGTGGCGAGCCAGCGGGTGAGGCGGCAGGCCTTCAGGTGAGGTGGCGGGCCAGCAGGTGAGGCGGCGGGCCGTCAGGTGAGGCGGCGGGGCCGTCAGGTCAGGTGGCGGGCCAGTAGGTGAGGCGGCGGGCCGTCAGGTGAGGCGGCGGGGCCGTCAGGTAAGGTGGCGGCGAGCCGTCAGGTGAGGCGGCGGGGCCGTCAGGTAAGGTGGCGGGCCAGCAGGTGAGACGGTGGGCCGTCAGGTGAGGCGGGTGGGCCGTCTGGTGAGGTGGCGGGCCAGAAGTCGAGGCGGCGGGCCGTCAGGTGAGGCGGCGGCCGTCAGGTAAGGCGGCTGCGGGGCCGACAGAGGTGCAGCGGGGGGGGGGGCCTGCTGCAGCGACGAAGAGGCCGCGCGGCCGTCTTGAGGGCGGCGCGGCGCGGCAGAGCCGAGAGGGCGGCGCGGCGCGGCTGTAAGGGCCGCGCGAAGTGGGGCCTGAACCGCGCGCGCGAAAAAAAATGAGTCGCGCGCGCGACTCTCGGGGCGCCACAAGGGCAGCTCGACGCGCACTAGGGGGAGCGCGCCTCGGGGAGAATAGGGCGCGCTCCGGGCAGGAAAAAAAAAATCGTGGGTGGGCCCAAAGAACGGTCCTTAGGAGGGACCCGCTCTATACCATGTGAAACTAACTGAACAGGAATGAGAATGACTAAGTCAGAGTTGGGTACAAAAATGCAACCCTAGCAAACTGTACCCCATATGTGCTACCCCACTATAGCCTACAAACATGCATCAGCTATAATAATCTGACAGCAGCTGCTCCTATCTTCCCTCAGAAAGTGGGGGTTGCCCCCAGCTTTCAGCTCACGCAACTGCCTGCCATAAGAGGCTTTGGTGTACGGGGCACAGCTGCTAGGGAGCAACTTCAAACCAGGGCAATTTCTGCTCTCCCAACCCAACCCCACCACTCTCGGCAAATCAGATTTGGAGCCAAAGGACCAAGACTGAACATCCGTCACCAAAGTCCTGCACGGCAGCAATTTTGAACCAGGGTTTTCTCTGTTGGAACCCAACCTTTTTACAAGGCACGGCAGGGCAGGCTCGGAGCCAATTCTTCCAAGCTGAAGCAACAGATACAGAACCTGGAACCTACCGAGGCGTTTTTGCTAGAGTTGAAGTGTGGCAACGGCATAGTTAGATTTTGTGGCGGGCAAGTTGAAGTTTTTAGGCGTTTGGTCTATAAGCCTCCGTAGATTTCTGCGAGGGTACGGTATACACTACCTATGCCCTCTAGCTCCGGTTACGACCGACGGTGTTTTGCGTTGTACGTTGTATAATGCATTTCCACCTACCAAAAAAAAAAAAAAAAAAAAAAGTACTAGCCTTGCCGATACACCGGAGTTGTTTGTGAATTGGATGAGGACAAGAGGTTCTTGTGGTAGTAACACCCTATCTTCCTCCCTCCCTCCCTCCCTCCCTCCCTCCCCCCCTCCCTCCCTCCCTCCCTCCCTCCCTCCCTCCCTCCCTCCCTCCCTCCCCTCTCTCCTCCCCCCCGCCTGCCTTGTAGCCTGTGTCGCTTGGCGTAGCTAGGTGCTGCTTTGGTAGCATTCGTGCCACTCATTCCATTCCGCGTCTTCTCTGCTGCCCCCTCCTTTCCTCTCCTCTCCTCGCCCCATTCATCCCATCAGCCGTGTTTCTCAACGAGAGCCAGACAGCATGGGTGAGGGCGCTGCAGGGGTGGACGGCGGGCGCCAACTGCAGCACCGCGGAGGGGATCAACTGCGACATGTCTGGCATGATCTCGTCCATGTGAGCTCACACGCCTGCGGCCCTGCGCGCGTTTGGCCCTGGCGGCACTGCGTCCGTGTGTGCGTGGAACGGATCCCTTCTGTCTGGGATGTAACTGTGCTGTGCATGCATGCGTGCGCGCGTGCATGGTGACTTCGGTGGAACGGGCTCTCGCTGAGTCACACACGAATACATTCAGTTCTCCGGTCGTTTTCCGCTATACGACCTGCTGTGTCTTGCGCCCGCTTCCGCTCTGCTCCGGGTGTTGAGTTGAGTTGACCCTTGCGCGTGTCCCTCCCTCCCTGTATTGTACTCTCTTCTCATAATCAGCCAGCCAACCGTGCGCCAAAACTTTCCACCCCAAGCTTTGATGCTGAGCGGACCATGCGCCAACTCTTTTTTTGTGCTTTGATGCTGAGCGGACCATGCGCCAACTCTTTTTTTGTGCTTTGATGCTGAGCGGACCATGTGCCAACTCTTTTTTTGTGCTTTGATGCTGAGCGGACCATGCGCCAACTCTTTTTTTGTGCTTTGATGCTGAGCGGACCATGCGCCAACTCTTTTTTTGTGCTTTGATGCTGAGCGTACCATGCGCCAACTCTTTTTTTGTGCTTTGACGCTGAGCGGACCATGCGCCAACTCTTTCTGCCCCAAGCCCATCCACAGGAATCTGAGTGACAGCGCTTTGACAGGTTCCATCCCCGACAGCATCTCCTTGCTCACTGCACTCAAGACCTTGTGAGCTTACACCAGATCATCATAAGGCGTGCTACAAATGTCATGTGGTTTGGTTTCACCCCTGCACACGTTCCAGACACTCATCACGCTGGTCTGATTGACCTTGGCCAATGCCACTCGCACTCTACGTTCTTCCATGGTCAGCCAGCCTGCCTGTTTGATACATACACATTGATGTTTTTCCTCAAACACCATGTGATTGCACACTCCCCCCCCCGCCCCCCACTCCCCAACCCCTCCCCCCCCCCCCCCCCCCCTCCCCCCCATCCCATCCCATCCCATCCCATCCCATCTCCCATTGTGTTCAGGTTCCTCCCTAGCAACGCTCTTAGTGGCCCCATTCCAAATATCATGGCAGCCGGACTCCAAAGCATGTAAGCTTCTTAGCAAGCCATGGGATGGGAACAGGATAGCGTAGGACAGAGCATGCCCGCTGAGTTGAGATGAGACTCAGCTCAGCTCGCGCCACTGGAAGCGTGCCGATAGCCGCCGCGGTCTAGTCCAGTCTTTGCACTTTGCACTTCCGCCTTTCGAGGCACGGGCACGGGCATATCAAAAGGCACAAGGCGCAGGGTCTAGGCTCAGCTCACCCCACTAAACCTCAGTCTCTGCTGCAATGCAAACACCGGGCAATTCTGCTTTTCTTGGGCTGGAGTAGTTGCTGGTGATCTACGCACGCACAGGATCTGTGGTGACAGGCTGACATGCCAAGGCATGGCATGGCATGGCATGGCATGGCAGTGGCAATAGCTGGCTGGCATTTTTTTTGCCAAGGCTAACATTCCTCCTCCTTGTGTGAGGTGATGGTGGCATGGCAGCACGCCTCGCCTCAACTTAACGATTCTCCTCATTGCGAGCATTGCCCTGCCCATTGGTGGTGGCCCTTCTTTCCTTTCCCCGTGTTGCTCACTCTCTGTCATGTCTGTACCCCCTTCACTTAGACATGAGCAACGAGTCAAGTAATTTACTCGACTCGTTTTTGTTACTCGTTTTGGGCGAGTAACGAGTCGGCCTTTTCCAGAAAATTACTCGCACCAGACGAGTCGAGTAAATGATTACTCGCAATTTACTCGTTTTTTGAAAACGAGTAATTATTACTCAGTTTCGACACCTGTTTAGCGCAAAACGAGTTGAGTATTTCTTGCTCCAAAACGAGTACTTCATTACTCGGTCCGAGTAATGAAATACTCGTTTTTATTCACGAGTAACAAGTCAGTTCTTGAGGTACAATTACTCGAGCGAGTAATACTCGACTCGACTCGTTTCCAAAACGAGTCGGCTGATACGAGTCGAGTATTACTCGGTTTGGCGTTTGCTCATCCCTTCACTCCGCTTCCGCTTCGTCCAATGCCCCACATGCCAATTGCGTATCATGGGTATGGATGGGACGTCCGTCAGATACCTGGACAACAATAGGCTTGAGGGGTCCATTCCTGGATTTGGCTTTACGAACATGTATACTTTGTAAGTAATGACTGCGTGCATTGATAGTTCTCCGTTTTTGGAAGCACTGACTCCGTGTTGGTCCCTTAGGAGCAAGCCTCAATGTGCACGGGCTGCCTCAGAAATCTCTACCGCAGTCATTGTCTTAGGTGGAATATACGCTCAAACCTGTTTGCGTTTAGCGTATACACGCTAGCGTGTATACGCTAAACGCTAAACGCTATCGAATACGCTATACGCTCGCCAATTTTTTTTTGGGGCAGCCCGGCCAGAAAATTTCAACCTATACGGTTCGCTTCGGAATTGCACGACGAAGACATTGGCGGGGTTAGATGGCACATCCGCGTTGTGTGCTAGCGGGGACGTGGGTTGAAAGTTCGTGTCGCAAATGGAAAGTCGCGTTCGTCGAGTCGCACCTGCACGTTCCCTCACATTTTGGTGTTCACTATAAGTACCGCATTCAAACCCTTTGCAACCAACACCTCTCCAATTTTTGTTGGCCATCTTCCCACTCCCACAATCAACTCGCCATAAAACAAGCACAACCCCAACATCCAACTCATTAGGTCTTCTCTCGCTACTAGCAGAGCACTAGGCATTCCCTAGCGCATGGTTCCTATGTCGACGACTACTACCTCTCCTCTAACGCCACCGTCAGTTAACACCGTTGGCAGTTCGCAAACTCTTCTAACCAAGGCACAGGAGTATCTCCCTGACGTTGACCATGCCGTCTTCAAGCACTTCCGCATCATCAAGAGGGTCGAGGGAAAAGCTCAGCAGTACGCGTGCAAGCTCTGCAGCAACGTCTACACTGGTGCTGCCATCCGATGCGCGCAACACTTCACGTCGTGGAAGGGGATGAAACGCCGTGAAGTGGTGCTTTGCAAGGATGCGCCACAAGATGTGCGCTTGGCCATGCGCGCGAAATACGAGGCAAAGGCTGCTGCGGCCGAAGAGAAGAGGCGGGCAGCAGCTGAAGCAGTTGCCGCGGTCAAGGCTAATGGTGTGAAGCGGGCGCGCATCACCGATTACCTTGATGGGGATGCGGCCGCAAGAAAGAGAGAAGCGGAGGAGGCACTTGCGCTTGCTTGGGCCGCCCTCCATATCCCCGAGCACCACATTGACCATCCTCTGATGGTCAATGCATTGAACCTCGTCAAGCGCGCCGGCGCCGACTACGTCCCTCCCAAGAGGAAATACATCGGCGGTGCTGGCCTTCTCTCGTGTCGCAAGGGAATCGAGCAGGGTTTGGTGGGCATTAAGGCGAGCTGGAAGAGGACGGGCGTGACGGTTTCGTCCGACATGATGACGGACCGCAACGGCAGGCCGCAGGCCAACGTGCTTCTCGTGAACGATTCCGGCGCCGTCTTCACCGACTGTATTGACTGCAACATGGAGAGAAAAACCGGAGGTTACGTGGCGGGAATTCTTAGGCCCGTGGTGGAGGAAGTGGGTCCAGAAAACGTTGTTGCGTTCTGCATGGACGGAGGGTCGAACTATGCGGTGGCGGTGAAGCAGCTCTTACAGGAGTGGCCGCACATTCAGGATGTGCCGTGCGCCACTCACGTATTGGATCTTCTCATGGAAGATGTGGGGAAGATGGGATGGGCTAAGCCGGTGGTCGACAAGGGAGGGGAGATATCTAGCTTCGTCCGCAACCACCACTGGACCCGAGGGT